AAATGTTGAATCAAAAAATAAAAAGTTATGACACTTGGGTTAATATATGCCTCACAGATTGGGGTCTGCAGAATTTTCTGGTGAACACTGTTAACTTTTACAAAAATTCTTCCATCTATGAAACTAAGTTTATTAAATCTCAGTTGTGCAGCCTTTTGTATCCTCACATCTACAGAGTGAATAACTTTCCTCAGATTCATTCCATCATGCAGTGGGTCTTCCAGTCAAAGTCAGTGCAAGAACACATCAACATCTCCCAATTTTCTGAATTAATTAGAAGCTTAAAGAAAATCCAGAATGACCTCATGGAAGCCATGGCCAAATCTAAGTCTGAAGAAACAGTGGTAGAAGCTCAAAGAAAGGCTACTTATGAGGTCAGTTTGTCTCTCAGATACTTCTTGAATTACCTCCAAGAAAAAGAGCAGCCAGACACACAGCTGTTGCTACTCTCCATTGCAGCTGGTGCAGGATATCATGTGGTAAACAAACATTTTCAGTATCTCCTTGGGTGTGAGGAGTTAAACTTCCTACTGCATGAAGTGCAAACTGCCCAAGATAAATACCAGGAGCTCAACAATATTTGCACTTACAGAGCCCAGGCATTCCTAGTGATCACAGGTTTAACAGCTACCATTAGAGTCACAGCTGTTTCTCCAAAGGAGAAAACACAACGCTTGACATTAATAAATCAGCACATGGGACAATTTTTGTCAAAAGAAGTTGTCCATGTCCTCTCCAAACATGGAGCACATAAGAATTGGGAAAACCTAGAGAAAGACTTGAGATTGCTCATTAATGGTAACTATGATGCCACAATCTCCTCGTTGCAAATGGATGAGATAAGTAAAAACTTGCAAAGTATTTTCCATGAAAGGAAACAACCTCATGAACCACATGATGATGATAATATCAATGGGGAAGTCATTAAAAATACAGCCTTCTTAGAATTACTCCAGCATCTAGGTTTAGAACAATTTTACCCAAAAAAGATGAGTAGAACTAACTTCCATCTGATCAACAAGACTTCTGTGTACAACAGCAAGCCCTGTTCTGAAAGTGAGCTTCACCAATATTTCCTTCAGAAGCTACAAGTGCTGGATTATGAGCTGAGATACCTGCTCTTCAGAGATGATGGAGACACACAGAATCAAGTAAATCCAAGTGCCTTAAATAAGGACAATGAGGCTTTTAACCCATATAAATACTTGTTTGAAGACAGGGATACTCCCATTAGCCCTTCACCCTCTAAACATAGGCCCCATATTCACCCAATGGATATTCAGATGGCAATTCTTCACTGTGCAGATGATTTTGCCAGACAGTATATTTTGTCCAAACTTTCCATTTGCCAGTTTGCACTCCCTCTTCTCATACCTAACCCCTGCAGTTCTCATATTGAATTCTCTCTCTGGTCTTTCAGTCAAATTAGAAGGAGCTGGCAGGAAGCAAGGAAATCACCAAGAGAGGAGAAGATCAATTACAAGAATAAGCAGATGTGTCAAGTCTCCACTCCCATTGTGTCCTTTATAAGAGTTGGAAATGGCTTCTCTGCTTCCAAATCTCAGATCATGAACTGTCTTCTCAGTAAACGTAAACATGATGTCTTTTTCCACCGACATTGTAGAGGGAGCACCAAAGACTGTCTCTTGATGGGGGGAGTGGTGGAAATCTGCTGGTTCTGCCCTGGAGGGGAAGATGAGGACAGATTTGACAACTGTGTGACCTTCACCAATCTCCATGGAGATGCAAAGGAACATAAGAAGCAACTTACCTTCCTGCAGGAGGTCTCTTCTCTCATTGTTGTCCTCATGTCAACTTCTGATGACAATAAAGAAAACCAAAAAATTATTCATGATCTGAGTCAGTCTCCAAGACCTTTGATCTGTTTAGTTGATAACAAAGATAAAAACGTGGACAATAATTCTAGCCAAAAAGTGGTCATTGGAATCAGGGACAGAAATGAAGCAGAATTAACAGAGGAGCTTGTTACTACAATCAGACGCTTGCTGGAGCTCTTAGACAATGCTCTCAGCTTAGAGGACTGTACCCCGATTGCTCGCAAGCAAGGATTCCTTATTGACGAAGACCAGAGAAACTGCAAGGAAGCCAAAGAAAAGGCAGAGGTCCTAATAGCTCTACTGAGAGAATGGAATATTTCTCAAGTGAAGGAAAACTTACTACCCCTTCAGGGACACCTGTGGCATCTTTGGTGTAAAAAGGACAAAGAACTCTATCATCTAAGAGACAAAGGGAATCGGAGCATTGAACAACATAAGAGTGAGATTGAGACAGAAAAACAAAATATACGGAGTCAACAGTTGAGCAGAGCCTTTCCTCTCAATGAATTAATGCAGTCTGTCCTTGAAATTCTCCAAAATTATTCTGAAACTCAAACCACACACTACTTTTTGCAATGGTTGAGTGTGCTTTTGGACAACTTGACTGCAGGACACTTGGAAAAACTGAATGAAAAGAAAAACATTTTGTGGTCACGGATACAAAAAGAAAAGCAAAAGGCACCAAAGAGCACTGACGTCCAAGACTGGCAAAAAGAGATAGAAGCTATCTCAACAGAGATTAGTGACTGTACATTGGGAATTGAGCAACTTCTCAGAGAAGTTGGCCAGATCTATGAAGCTCTAGAAGAAGCTTCCCCAACTAAAGATAACCTTTATCTTTCCCTTCCCCAGATTGCTGCAAATCTGCTGATATCTGGTGCTCCCATTGAGCTGATGGATGGGGATACTTCATATGTGCCTGTAAAGTGGGTGGGAGCTGTTTTTGACAAGGTCTCTGAGAAACTTGAAAACAAACGACTGTTTGTTCTCTCTATCCTTGGCCTACAGAGCTCAGGGAAGTCCACTCTGCTGAATGCACTTTTTGGGCTGCAGTTCACGGTCAGTGCTGGGAGGTGTACCCGGGGGGCCTACATGCAGCTCCTGAAGGTCGAGGACACTTTCACAGAGGAACTGGGCTTTGACTTTGTGCTTGTTGTGGACACAGAAGGCCTTCGGGCCCCAGAACTCAGCAACAAATCCAAAAATCGTGACAATGAGTTGGCAACCTTTGTCATTGGACTTGGAAACTTGACTCTGATCAATATTTTTGGGGAAAATCCATCAGAAATGCAAGATATTCTACAAATAGTTGTCCAAGCCTTTATGAGGATGAAACAAGTAAAAATCTCCCCAAGTTGCATTTTTATCCATCAGAATGTGGGGGAAGTCACAGCTAAAGACCAAACTATGGAAGGACGGAGGCGGTTAGAGCAGAGACTAGATGAAATGGCCACAATAGCAGCTGAGCAAGAACAGTGCTCAGATGTAACCCGCTTTGGTGATATCATTAAATTTGATG